AAAAGCCAATCTTCTCCTGCCCAAACAGCAACCATCCACCACAACAGCCATATTTCTCTCTTGTCCTTCCTTTAACTGACCTTCAACGCCTGCCACTCGCTACCCACACTCACCCACGTTCGTTCTAGTTTTCTTTGCCACATGGTCGGACCGCGTCCACTCCTCGTGCTTCCTATCTGGCGCCTCTCTATGGTGTTGTCTAGCCACGGGGCCCCCGCGAACGGGATGCACGTCACCCGGGCGGGGAATGCCCCAGCGGAGTCCAAGCTGCCTGCGGACCTCTTTCCTTTTCCGGGCATCTCGCTGCACTAGGGCCTGAGGGTCAAGACGCCAGTGTCCGATATCATCAACAGTGTCTCCCCGAGCTCTGAAGCCGCACCGAAGACGACTTTGGGAAGGCGACGCACTCGATCGAGCCACGGCAGGAAGTCCGGATCCTTCTTCAGCCGTTTTCAAGGTATGTTAAGCCCTACCTATCAACCGACTCCAGCTGACCGCCGCCAACGCCCCCTTTGGTAGGCGGCCCTCCACCAGGCGTGCCCTCTAGCCGACGGCCCTTTTCCGACGGTTTTACAAGACGCCCCGCGTCATCCCAAACGGCCGCCGGGGACTCTCGTTTCCGGGGGTCTTCCTGAAGCAGCCGATGTGCTGACGAGACCCGCCCTTGATAGACCGCGGCCGACGACACCGCCGTCGACGGGGCTGCCGCCGCGGGATGCCGTTGACGGGACCGCCGCCATGGGACCGCCGCCGATGGGACTGCTGCCGATGGGACTGCCCCGACGCTTCACGGGCGAAGAGGTTCAGGCGCCGAGGGATCTACCGCGAGACGACCGCCGACGGTCTTCCGTAGACGAGCTCAAGTCCAGAAGCGATCCACCACCAAAGGCTCCACGAAGAAGGTGTCCACCAGCGCGAACCACCGCTCGAGACCTCCACCGGCGCGACCACCGCTGATGAGACCTCCACCGGAGCGACTACTGCTGATGAGACCACCGCTGACGAGACCCCACCGGCGCGACCGCCGCTGATGAGACCTCTACTGGCGCGACCACCACCGACGAGACCTCCACCGGCGCGACCACCGCTGATGAGACCTCCACTGAGCGACTGCTGCTGATGATACCACCGCTGAAGAGACCTCTACCGGCGCGACCACCACCGACGAGACCTCCACCGGCGCGACTACTGCTGTTGAGACCACCGCCGCTGACGAGACCTCCACCGGCGCGACCGCCGCTGATGAGACCTCTACTGGCGCGACCACCAACCGCCGAGACCTCCACCGGCGCGACCACCGCTGATGATACCACCGCTGATGAGACCTCCACCGTAGCGACTGCTGCTGATGAGACCACCGCTGAAGACCTCCACCGGCGCGACCGCCGCTGATGAGACCTCTACTGGCTCGACCACCACCGACGAGACCTCCACCGGCGCGACCACCGCTGATGAGACTTCAGCTACGAGACTTCTACCGGCGGGCATCTTCCAGAAAGACCTCCGCGAGCAAAACCGGTTCTAATACCACCTTAAAGAAGACTGCTGCCAAGAAGGCCGCTGCTGATGATACTGCCGCGGAGTCCGTATGGCCAACTTAACAAGGCACCGGACGGGAGCGCAGCTTCTCGGCACTTGAGCAGCTTGGCTCCCACACATCGGCTCATTGCGATCGGCTTGTAGATAGATACCTGTTCTTTAGTAGCGTCCGCGTGGGGGCACTTTTAGACGCGCTCACCGAAACGCAACGCCGTGGAACGTGCGGCTTCTCATATTTACGCTTTATATTTTGTTTAAAGATTAAGTCATAAATCTTACTCGAAGAATAAACCACTGTTGATACATGACATGCAGTCGCCCTGCCCACATAAGCTTCTGCTCTCGCAATCCCCCGCAATACGACTGGATAGGTAGTTTCCGAGCAAGGCAATGCCCTCCGGAATCCGGTTACCATGGCTAATCGCAGCAGCCGTGTTTGCTCCCCGCCCGACCCCTCCTGCGACAGTCATTACGGTCCCGCTCGACGCGAGCACCGGCCACGCGTGCCCCATGACCCGCAGAGCAGGCAATCATTAGACAGGCAGAAGACTTGGGCTTCCTCGTCATCAGGATCAGCCGTCGACACTGTATGCTTCGTCCGGGGACCGGTAAGCGAGGGGTGAGAACCTGTTGAGTGTTTGTCACGACGGGGTCATTGATGCGACGTCGCTCTATACGTGCTGTTTTCAAGGAGATTCTACACCACTTAAACCAAGGTTAGCCCTATAGTAGATAGCTAGGTAGTCTTATTGTATATAGGCCAAAGCCTGCCCTCGCCTAAAAGACTTTGCTTGGGCCGGTTTTTCATGATGATTATCGCCTGGTTTTACAGACCACAACAGACGAGTTCCTGATCCCGCCATCTAGTAACCTTGCGGACACAGCGTTAAGGACGTGTGAATGTCCCCGGCTGGTTCGTCTCGCCCTATCGATAGGGGTTCTGTGGGACTGTGGATGGACGTCTTCCACCTCCATATCGCTATCTAGGGCCCCGCGGGCGGATGAGACGGTCGACAGTTTGACCACGCGAGTAGTGTTCACGTGCGCAAAAGTCGAGAGGCTTCTGGCTCAGATTCTGCTCACACGAGGGGAAGAATGGATGATCCCCCCGACGACGGGTACGTTGTGGACAGGCAGGCTCAAACGCAACCCTGCAAGAACCCTCGGCTCTCACCAGTCAGTTGGAGTTAGGTGGTCTTGGTTGTGCTTAACCCCACTAGCTGCCCGCTCTGGCCCGCCGGCGTCACAGCCGCGAACCGATTCGCCGGGCCTGACCCGGCGAAGCACAGCGGACCTGATCCGTTCGGAGATGGCCGTTGTTTCAAGGACTCCACCAGCTCCCTTACTACCTGCTTTGTTTTATTTTGGGGGGGGGGGGGGGGGGGGGGGGGGGTGGGGGGGGGGGGGGGGGGGGGGGGGGGGGACAAAATAAAAAACTTGTTGCTGGACCTAAAGACGCCCGCAGATAGTCGTCCTGCGACGTTGTTTGCGTCGCGACCACGACAAGCGGTACATACCTACTCTGATCTCTGCGATTCTTCATCCCTGCGCGGTACGGGCGGAGGTCGGGTCCAAATCGTGACAAGCCAACCCCCCCCACGGGCCTTCCCTTTTGTGGCGGACACTGCTGCGTATCCGCACAATCAGGTCGCTCCGATCCCGGGCGCCTGCGCGACTGGGCACCTGGGCACCTGGACGGACTTGGTGGAGAGACACCCACCCCCTGTCGTCAGTATACCAGCCATGTGTTTCGCTGCCCATCGCGCCGTGACCGTAGGGATGGGTTTAGCATCACGTCGTTTAGTTGAGTTTGGTACTGGTTCGATTGCTTGTCCGCGAACACATACGGCTTGTTAGGGTCAGTCAATGCGAGGCTTTGTCCCTCATAACCTCTCTTTACTTAACCATGCTCCCATCTCTCTACCGGCAGTAAACTTGTCAACAGCCGCCACTCAAACGCAGTGTGACTGAGCAACGTCTGCCCACCCCAACAAGGTCCAGCGCACCATCCCTACCCACTTATACCTTACCCAAGCAGGCCAGGCTCACAAGGAGACAGACAGCACGCTGCGGGTAGAGACCACTTTTCCATCGTCATCTCATCGTCGCCTCTCCCATTTCGGACGCCTCATGCCGCATTTGTCTCTTACCGCCGAGTCCTCCGCCCCTGAGGGTCGTCCGCCGGCGCCGTACTCGGCAATCCCAGCCTAACGGACCGCAAGGTACGGATACACCGTACATACGTGTCCCGACGCCACCATCTCGGCATGTCACGCCGTCAGATCCCTCCGGCGCTGCGCGCCGCCCACCCCCCCTGCACGCCCGACTCTCTGCTGGAACCGACGACGGGCCGCCGTTTTAGGTCGCAGATCGCCTGCATGGACTTCTCTAACAACGACATCCCACCGGACGCGCAGCCGTCATCACCGCCGGGTGCGGCTGTCAACACAAGACCCCAAGCACCCGCTCCGGGTTCGGTCGGTCTAGCGCCGTCTGATGTGTCGGTCGCCGACCCGATCACGCAACAGGATCAGCCGGCATCCCCCCCTTGTCCCGGCCTCAGCTCCGGCCGACCGGAACGACGCCGCGGCAGCCGGCCTCTACCAGTGCCCCACACTGCCAGCGGACGGTACTCTCGCCCTGCGTATCTCGCACGACACATCCGGACCTACACTTCCAGCAAGCGCTGTGCATGCCCTATATGTTCCAAGGCGTTTGCCAGAACCGATCTGCTGAAGCGCCACGTTGCCAGGCACGCAGGCGGCGGCCAAAACCACGCTAGCAAGCGAAAACACGGCAGCAAGCGAAACCACCACGCGGGACCTTCACCCGGCCCTCGTCGTGTGTCTTACGCTTGCCGGCAATGCGCTGCTGCCCGTGTCAAGTGCGACGAGGTCAAACCGTGCACCCGCTGTTGTAGCCGCAACATCGATTGTGAACCCTCCTCGAGCCGTCATTCTTCCACAGCCGCCATGCACCTGCCCCTCCCCGGGAAGATCGCTAACGCCGGCGGCAGCGAGACGAAACCGTCCATCGGCTGTTCGACGGTACCTTCGCCCCTCCGTACCCACAACAACAACTCCTCTTACGCCGCGCATCAGGAGCTTGCCCCACCGCAGCAGCCCGCGTGTCTGCCAACGGCCGCAAGTGGCCTGGAGACTCTACGAGAGCGCGCCGAGGCCGAGAACGGGCGCCCAGCGACGTTAACAACATGGCGCGCGGGATTAGTACCGGATCCCGCGCACGTCATCCACGAGATAAGCGCGTACAGGTGGTTTGCCACCACAAGCCCCATCTCCACCACCACGGGAAGAGGCGTCTATGAGCCGGAAACGGGCTCTGTGACGGGACCAGAGCCAGGAAGTCAGCCTGTGTTGGATTTTTACGCCGGCTCAAACTTGGGGCTGTACGTGGTGAGCTCCGGGCCATTCGAGCCGTTCGAGCCATTCGCGCCACTCGAGCCACCCGGGCCAATTGAGCCATTCGAGCTATTCAAGCAACCAAGCCTGGGCGGTACGAACACGGCCGACAGCCGACGTTGGCCTTGGCCTGCGGACAACGCCGTCGAGACGATCCAGCACGCAACGGGTAGTCGTCGAGGCCCATGAAAAGGCCCCTACGCAAGGTAGATTCGGAATCGCAAACCTGACTTCCCGCCAGCAAAGAGCCGGTAGCAGCAGCCTGCCGCGGGACGTTATCTATGCGCTATACGCCGCTGCCTACACGGATAGGCGAACAGCTTGTCCCAATTCCGAGAAGGGGTACACCGGACCGTCGGAACTTAGCTCTATAGGGGTTCTTCGAGACGCCCCCCCCCCCGTACTTCTTTTCTTCGTTCACTCACACGACGAGAATTCCGAACACGAATGTGGAAACTTGCCGAAACTGCCGGACCGGGCAAAGCATACACCTTGTGCGCGCCAATCCCCACACATCATTTCAACCCCTTCCTCCCACCCCGGATTTTACTGCTCGGTGCTACGGCTCGGCGCTGTCCTGAAGCTTCGCTCCGGCGGGGACAATGGAATCGCGCTAGCAGGGTTACGACGTGAGCCGGACCGATTCGGGCAATGGCGCGAATTGCGTGCAGAATGTCTCCCTCAACGGCCGAGAATTGATATAGGGCGATACTTTGACGATTGATGGGCGCAGTCGGCCCCCCCATGTCGTTGGTTTAGAGTTTCGGCTTAGCGGCTCCATACGCCCCACCCTGGGTGCCACTGGGGCGGCGCCCACAGGTCTGATGAAGCACGACAAGCATCCCTGGACGAACAGGCATGGATACGCGAACGGATTGGAAGACCCGCGAAAAGGTCTCGGGACCTCGGTACGATTGGCTCGTGCGCGCTCTTGATTACTGTTAGATCGCCGATGCGTTTTCCCGACGGGGTCTATATGTTTTACTGCCCCTGCCAGCTCCATCCTGCAGGATAATCTGGAAAGGATGTAGGCGTGCGGTTACCTCCTGGATATGAATGTAAATGTGAATGTAGATGTAAACGAAAATGCCAAAGCCTAATTTTATACCGTTCGTCTGTCTTCTGCTGCGTTGCTTTGCTGATCGGGGCGTGGCATCAACCTAATTGGGTCAGCACCAGCTTTGAGGGAAGACAGTTTCATCTGGCCACCTCATCCTGCAAGCCCCATTCCGCGCAGCACGGACAATACTATATACTCCGTACGGAGTACTCCAGACCACTATTCCCCTAATTACATGCTAAAAATGGCTCAGGATTCTGCGGACAGGTCCAGTAGGTAAGGTTTGTAGGTACAGGTAGTACAAGGTAGCCAATCAACTGACATGCCCCACTTTCCGGTGGGCCGACGTCCAGCGGGAGCCACTGGACGTCTCTACTCTAGCTACCTAGCGAGATTACCCGGCACCGATGGAAGTCTGCCAAGATTTTACCTTACACACACAGTAGCCATCCAACCCCCTCCCCCTTGCGGCTGCAGGGACTGTTCGCTGAACGTATCCGTACGCAGTGTACGCCAAGCTGCAAGGACGGTTTTTTATTTTTTTATTTTTTTCAATTCTTTTTTTTTTTTATTTTTTTTTAAAAAAAAGAAAGAATAGGGAAGTGGGATCAGGACTCCGAGCCACGAAATCGCACCTATAAAGCCAGCGCCCCTCTCTCGGTGAGAGACTTGTCAGTGTCTCGAGAATACGAGAGCTAGGTGGCTCAGCGTACGACGACCGATAGCCCAGTATGAGTGCTGAGAAGAACGTAGACCGTCCGGAAATCCACATCTCTCGGGAGAGTTAGTTGCTGATCCCTAAAGGACGGTGATACCGGGCGCAATGCAATCCAATGTAAGTCTATCGAGCAACAAACTTACTATGTAGGCCGGCCCTGCTTGGTAGATCTAATCGTTTTCAACGCCTTAGCGAACGGCTGGGGCCAATGTATGAGATGATGGATGAGACGATGCGAGCGGAAGCGTCTGCACAGCGGTGGTATTCAACGCCGTGGTATCGGCTTTCGGCGAAGCCGGGAAAGATGCCCCCCCCCCCCTCCTCTCTTCTTCCCAGATTCCAGGCAAATGCTTGTTGACCGCTGTTAGGAGCTCTTGAATGAAGCTGGGGAATTTGAATCCTAACTGCGAAGACACATCAGTTCACTCGCAGCCGCCCTGTGTCCCTCCCTTGCCGCTCACTACGCCGAGTTATCTGTAGACTGTCTTAACAGCGCGTTAGGTAGTCGAGCCATACAATAGGCTTATTGCCCACGAGTAGTATGAATAAATAAGACGTACAATCATCAACAGTCGTCTCACTCCCTCGGAGCGGAGCGAGACGGCTGTCCGAGTTTTGTTCATAACACGTTCAGAACACGCTTCGGAGCGCCCTCCTAACATTGAACCCCTTGGTCTCCTATCTTGACACCGCCCCCTCATCTTTCAAAATTTTGATTTTCTTTCCCCCCTCTTGATCGGCACGGCTATACACTCGCTTTCTATCCTACCGACTCGAACCGCTGCCGCTGCTGCTACTAACGGCAGCTCGTGTGCACTGCAGCCTTGGGCTGGTTTTGCGGCTGGCACCCAACAGCTAGCGCCTGCGGCTAGCTTACCTTGTCAGTCACGATTCTGCGAGATATACCCCCCGCGGACTGAAGGTCGAGAGCCTCCAGAGGCAATTGGATACATTCCCCACCAGCAGCTCCCGGGTGAACGCAAGCCGAGCCGCCTGGTCACCATCTATGAACACCAACATGACACTTTACAGCCACTTCGATATGGAATCCCGGGGCAAGGGCGACCGCGCTTCGCTGGAGCGGGAGCGAGACGCCTGGTTTGCCGCTTTGGAGAGCTACAGACTGCGATTTTGCTTGGAGAGAGAACGCATCAGAGTGGCTTGCAAACGCGCAGAGCAGAGCGTCTGGGTCAATCTCGCTAACCAGGCCTGGTGTATCAGCCAAGAAGCCTTGCCTGTCGATGTTATCGAGATCCTCTGCTCTTATCAGGCCGAGATTCGTCAAAGACGCCTTAAAGATCTACAACTGGATCGTGACCAGTCACTGGATGCTGTGGACAAGCAGGAGAGAGAGGTCCTTCTTCATCACCACCAACGATTTCCGTTATCAACCACGACTGGGCCGTTAATGGATACGGAATCAACCAGAGACAATCCAATCGAGATACAGCGAGGCCCACCGACGGGCCCAACGTGCGATCTCCGAGCGCGGACACGCGCTGGAGACGACGCGCCTCAAGAGGCACTGGCATCCCAGAGCAGAGTGTACCCGTGGAGTCAAGCCCTGGCCTTAAGAGAACCAGCTTTGGTCCCCACGGCGTTAACGACCGCGCACCAAAGCCCCCTTTCTAACAAGCCCCCAAGCCTCCCCCGAACCCCAAGCCAAGGTGCTATGTCGGACTCTAGTTAGAGCCGCTAGTATATAAACGTCCTAACTAGAATGCTCCCTTTTCCGCAGACGTAGCAGCCTCGGCATTCTGCCGGCGGGAGACATCATGTTGACTGCTCGGGGGCAGAGTCAACCTTCCAGACCCGTGTGAGGAAACGAAAACGAGTCCAGAGAAGCTTAGCCGGCCGGCCATGCGGCAGGGGCTAGGACAAGCGCGAGCTGCAAGCTGCTGTCTCCTCCACACGGCAAGCTAAAATGTGCCTGCCTCCTCCAAATCTGACGTTCTTTGCAATGCGGATGCGCGGGGGCCGCTGCCGTTGGTGACGTTTCCACCGCCGGAAGCGGACCTGGGACCAGCAGCACCATCTGTAGAAGTTCGAGGCGTATTGCTACGTACTCACGGTTGTTTCGTGATATTGGAACAGCCCTCCGCAGGCTCGAGGAAACAACCGCTAGCCCAGCTCTCGTCTCAGTGTGGGGGTTGGGGGTTGGGGGTAAAGTGTTAGTTCAGGATGTTTGGCGCGGGGTCTGTTACAGCTGCTTTTGCGTTCGCATGGTTCGATCCGGTTTCTTTCCCTTCGTTTTCTCTTTTCTTCTTGTATATTAACGATCGATTAAGAATGTATCCTATCCTATAGATGCAACCATCTAAATAACGGGTCCCTGTATGCGCGCCACGCTTCCTACTAGTTAGTGACTGACGTCTGGTGCAATCAATCTCTCCCCGTTATGCTTGCCTTTTCTTGAACTCAGGTAGATTTCGCTTGTCTCGGTCTCGACCCACCAAGTTTGGTGAGAGCAAGTAAGAATGGCTGTCGTGAACACCGAGTTGTATCAGTAACCCCGAATTTCCTGGTGAGAATTGGAGCTTAGGCAGGAGCTGCCTGAGTGACCGCTGCTCCTCTTCCTTAACCCTCCTCGCTTCTAGTTGTCCTAGGCTTCTGGGTAGCGAGAAATTTCGTTAATGGAGTTAGCTAGGCGTTCCTCGATTTCCCCGTCTCAGACGAGGACATTCGCCACCCACTTGCAGCCACGCTCATGGGTATCCATCCATCCATCGTGGGTTGTGGTAACGAGCCTTCCACAACGTCAAGCCTAATGTTGATGAAGCCTGACGACTGTCTCGCAGGCCTGCTACTACGTCTTCGGTCGGCCTCGGTCCGTGTTTCCACACCCACTGACTGCCCACGGCCATGACCGCCGACTTCAGTTGCATCCCGGTGTTGAGTCCAAACCGTCGCCGACGGCGGCGGAACATCGATATCCACCGAGATCCCTTGGAGCGACAGCGGCAAGTCACAGCTTAGGTCAGCGCGGCTGCGATCGTAGCTTATGGCGCCGCAAAGGTCGACTTCGCTATCAGAGGAACCTAGCCGTGGCGTGTGGCGACGATTCGGGCTATCGCCAGGGCCGATTTCGCGCGGGATAATGGCAAGCTCGGCCTCAGGTTGCTTCGCAATAGAAGCTGTCCTTTTGAAGCTGAAGCCGTGCTGCATCCTGTGTCGGGAGAACCCGCTGACGGGATTCGACAGAGAGGGCATAACCTTCACGACGAGGGGCCGGAGCGTCGGAAGGCACGCGCAGATCAGCCCACTACAGACTTCGCCGATGGACCACCCAGCAGTCTGCACGTTTTCCCACGTGAAGTCTGCGGTCTGATGGAGGTGTTGTATCCGGACAGCCGAAATCACGCACGTGCTATCAACCATGTGAGATTGGTGTCAATGTGACATTTACTGTCG